TCCAGACTTGCTGAATACAAGGGATTTCTTCCTGCTTTTGACAAGTTTTGTATGATCTGGAGGTGGGGCTTTATTTTTAATACTTAAATACTTAAATGTCAAGACTTCTTTTTTTCATACTGACGTAACAGTTCTGTGGGAAACATTAAGTTGATGCGTGTGTGTGTATAAACTTGTTAAAGTGTCCTGTCCTTGCTTGTGGGATTTCTCATCTGTCTGTGGCTCTTTCCTTGGTGTTTGAGCTGGAGCAGGAGGGAAGTGAGGAATAGGTAATCTCACAACACACTGCAGAGCAGTGCTAGCAGGAGAGAGTGAAACCAAAAAGGGGCCATCTAGCTCTATGGGTTTTTAACTCCCCTTTATTCCACATAGTTTTCCTCTCTCCTCTGCTTTCTCTGCTACCATGCAGTATGGCTCTGACCAGCACCTGTCTTTCCTCTCTCTGGATGCTGCTTATACATTCTTCCTTTCTCCTAAGATGTCTGTGCAGACCTGACAGCACCAAGGGTCTCCCTTCAGGCTGTCTGTGGAGGTGTGAGCCACAGGGAAGCAGTCCCGGCATGCCCTTCCCTGCTGTTTTGGGAGGGTACAACAGCTGAGCTGCCTGGGTGTAGGAGGTTGCTATGCAAACTGCCCCCTCCTTTCTCACCCACAGCACACTGAGACAGCATGAAAACACAGGCGGCTGACGATGCCTGGGGAGTGGGTGAGAGCTCTTTTTAAGGCTCAGATGCCTCCCTGTCAGTTCCTGGGGGTGTTGCAAGTGCTGTGTACTTTCAGCATCTTGTTTGGAGGCTGACAGAGAAAGGAGGCTCCATGTGAAATATAACTTGGCCATTAGAAACCTAATGTCTTTCTGGACTTGCATTCTTTTAGCCTGATTTTTTTAAAGCTGTTGGTGTTGGAGGATCGAATGAGCGTAACTATGTTACGTGTATGGCTTATTTATAAAACCTGGGAAACTGTGTTTTTACAATAAAAGTTTAGTAAAATGTCTTTGTGTGCATTTATGTAGGCAAAGTAGTTCAAGAAACATGGAAATAAGTAAGTCATGGTGTAGCACAAGCAGAGGCCAGTGACAGAGTTCTGTCCTGCTGATTTCCTGTGTGACTCTCCTCTCCCTGTTCAGTTCCTTTTACCAGTGCTAGCCACTGTGGTGAGGAGGGTTGCCAGGCCCATGGTGCTGCTGGCCACATCCCTGTGTCCAGGCAGCTGTCTAAGCAGTAGCAGCAAGGGAATGTAACTGTGTCTGCTGCCTGAAAAGTGTGCCTCAGCTCTGACTGTTGGAGTCTCATATTGTAGCTTTCTTAGTTTTCAGATTTTCTCTCGTAATGTTGCCAGCTGACACCTCTAGTCCATAGTTAAGTCTGAAGGATCTTTCTGCATTAATGCCTGTGGTGGCTCAACCTTGTTCCTTTTTCTGAACCTCAGGTGTTATGCTAGAGATGTCCTTTCTCAATTTCATTGTGTCAGGGAGCCAGGAATTGGAGTAATATGAAGACAACTAAGAATTAGTTCAAATTTGGACCACCTGTGTTTGGCTGGACCAGGGTAGGTTGGTACCATGATTCCTGCCCCATGATCAGGATTACTGTGCTGTGTGGAAAAGCCCAGATCCTCTGAGCTGTCTCATTGTGCAGTAATTCTGTGTCCCTCCAGCTGGCTGCCTTTATGTGAAGATAGTGCTATTGAAAACACTTTCTGCAGCTGGCAGGTGGAAAAGATTATTTCATCTTCTGCAACTTTCTGTCTCTTCTAAATTCAGAGCAAGAGGTAAAGTCTTTGAAATGCCCCATGCTGGAGTGGGGTGATCCCATCAGCCATACCACAGTCACTTTTGTGCCTCTTTCACACTAATGAATAATTAACTGCTCTGTGCATATGCACAGGCACTGGTCATGGGCATCTCTGCAGGGTCGTGGTGACCTGCAGATGACCACAGGGAGCTGCTGACATCAGCACACAGTCTCTTGGACTTGCTGCTTGTTTATCTTCTTGGCCACCAGCTGACCAAAGCTAATGTCTCGGTGACCTGCAGTGGCAACAAGGGAAGGGTGAGTGGTCCCCAGTCTTCTCAAAGCCTGAGTGTGCAAACAGATTGAGGTGCAGCAAGTCAGCTCCTACACTGCCATTCTCACCAGGTAAGCGCAAGGTGGCTCACAGGAGAGTGGCAGTCTATTCACAAGGGTAACAGCTTTCCTACAGGAAGTCACCTTGAGGCAAACCTTTGTTGGCTGGTTTGCATTCCTGTCATTGGCATTTTACCTGAAAGCACAAGCCTCAGCCTCCCAAAGCGTGGCTGTGTGTCAGAGCCCCTGCCCTGAGGTGAGCGTTCAGTCAGATCCGTTGTCCTGCCTGTTGCAAGTTGACCCATGCTTTGCTGGCCCCTGTGTGTTAGAAAAAAGACTTTCACCCTCCTTTTGCTGTGGAGCTGGAACAGCTTTGGGCATAGCTGTAATTTTCAGAGGAGTAAGGTTTATGGATCAGAGATGGAACCTTGTCCTGTGTTTTCCCACAAGAGACCCATCTGTGGCTGATGAACCTGCTGGATTCAGTCCAAAGGAGGCCACTAAGATGATCAGAGGGCTGAAGCACACATCTGAAGCATGTGATGAACACATGCTGAGGGAGTTGGAGTTCTTCAGCCTGGGGAAGAGAAGGCTCTGGAGAGACCTTATACCAGTACCTAAAGGATGTCAACAGGAAAGCTGGAGAGGGACATTTTGGCACGGTCTGTTGTGATACGACAAGGGTTAGAGGTTTTAAATTAAAGAGGTTTGTTCTAATTTGGATATAGGGAAGGGAAGAAGTCTTTTAGAATGAGGGTGGTGAAACACTGGAACACATTGCCTAGAGAGTGGGGCGTGCCCCACCCCTGGATGAGGCTCTGAGCAATACAATCTAGTTCAAGGTACCCCATGTCATTGCAAGGACATTGGACTGGGTGACCCCTAAAGGTCCCTTCCAACCCAAACGATGATTCTATGAGACTGGGGCCTGTAAGGCCTTTCTACTATTCACTATAAAACTGCTGTCAGTTGCAGGAGGATTTTTCCTTAGGGATTTTCAGTGGAAAGCTGGAAAAGTTGGCAACAGTTTGCTTGCTATTGTGTTTTCTTCTCATTTCTTGCCCCCCTGCATATTGCTGCCATTACCCATCAAAGCATCAGGCTGAGTCAGATGTAGAAAATGAGATGAAAAACGCAGGGTGATGGATGGGTGGCAGCCAAAATGACTCTTTCTATCCACCCATCCCCTAAAGCTGCAATAGCAGCTCAGAGGCTGTGCCTCATGACTTCATCCCTCCCTGCTGAGGGGAGATGGGAACATCATTATCAGCTGCCGATGAGTCTTGATTTGGAGCCAGCAGTGAAAATGTCCTCGGATGTGGGGCTCCTCCTCCACCCCAAGGGTGACTTGAACCTGCTGGGAAGATGGAGGAAGAGCTGGAGGGAGGAGATGAGAAGAAAGAGGTGTAAATTCAACCCTGTCTCTATGATGATGTCATGGCAACAAGTCAGGTGATCAGGGCACACTTTGAAGGTCTCCAGCCCTTCTCTGTTACTGCAGGCTCATGTCTGACTCGCTGAAAAATCTTTTGGTTAATATTTAATGCCAGCATTGAAGTGCTAAGGGTGGCAAATGCCTCACCTAAGCCCCCTGCCTTTGCTTTCCAATGGGATGCTAAATCAGGGTGAGGAGGTAGGATTGCAGATTTCATTATCTGGGAATGGGACTAACAGTCACTAGGGTGGCTTCAGCCCATAGAGTCCCTGTGCCCACCTGACTGCAGGACATGAGAAGGAGGTTTCTATCCCCTCCAGCCCCATTTGGAGCTGGTTTGGGGCACTGGAATGAGGAGGTCTCCCTCTCTTCAGGGCTGGCTCTGGAATAATGAAACCTGTGGCTCTGCTCCGGGAGCTGAGCCCAACTCTTTTGATGCGATCAGTTAGTATACGGAGTTGGTGTTTTGGTTGGACGGTTGCTGTTTTTCTGAGCCATGACCTAATGATCCCATGTTCCAGCTACAGCCCCTCCTAGGGGCCTTCTGTGTGAAACGTGTGTCCGGACTGAATTCAGCAAACTTCCCGGAGCAAGACGCTGTGTTCCCCCACCCAGGGAAGCCATCTGCTCCCCTCCACCAGCTCCTTCTGCGGGGCTTGGTGCTCGCCAGCCGGGCTGGAAAGCTCTCCTCCTCCTCGCTTGCCCCGGCTCTCCTCGGCCCTGTTGCTAGCAGAAGGCTCGGAGCGCGGGGCCGGCTGAATCTGGGGCGGTGATGGTGTCAGCCGGAGGCGGTTTCCAGGCAACTGTCGCGCCTGGGACACGCGAGCCAAGAACACCGGGGACAGCGCGTTCCCTGCGCGCCGCCTGCGAGGGGACCGAGGCACACACGGGAGGAGAGGGCAGCGCAGGGATGGCAGCAGAGGAGGGGGTCTCCAGCATAGCCCCTCCTGCCACTGATCATCATGCCCTCCCTGGCTGGGAGTGAGCATTTCCAAGCTGGCTGCTGGTGCATCTCACGACAAGGAAAAACTACATGATGTATGCGATTTCACATGCCTTCTGCATCCTTTGGAAGGGCAAAGAGAAAATAAACACCGTGCCAGACTGTACCACAGTCCCCAGACTTATTGCAGGTGCTCCTGTGCTTGTCTGTCCCTTATCAAATACAAAGCTCCATCCCTACAAGTCATGGACCATTTTTGTGCACACATCCCAGCTCTGTCCCCCTGGGTGTCACTGCAAAAGTGAATTTCTTGCAAAAAGAAATGCTCTTCCCTAGTCCTCCCCAGCACTTGGTGGGTCCTACTATCCCTCTGTGCTAATGCCCAAGGTAGTATCCCCACTCTTGCCTGCCTGCCTCCCCTACCTGCTTTAGAGGCCCTGGGAACATCCTTGCCCCTGAAACTCACTGGACTGGTAGCCCTTCCTTACACTGCCAGCCTGGCATTTCCCCTCGCACCCATGCCAATGCTGACATCCCCTTTGTTTTATCCAGTCTGAGTGACTTTTGAAAGGGGGCTTGAGTACAACTGATTTTCAACGGGTCAGGGAGGGTGATAAAATTGATATGGCTGAGCAACGGAAAGAAAATTCTGGATTCTGAGAGTACAGCTATGATGAACATGGTGAATGGGGCTACATAGTGCTTGGCAGGGTGTGTGCTGCAGATGGGCAGGACCATTTGAATGTTCTGTATTCAAGGAAATGTTCTGCAGCCCTGTGCAGGTGACAGCACAGAAAGACAGGACAGTTGGGAGTCATCTGCAGCCATTGCTGTCCCCGAGCCAGCATTGCAGCTATTGATTTGGAGCTTGCCCCATTCACTCTAACCTTGGCAGTGCCAGCTCGACCCTTATCAGCGCTGATAAACCCTGCCACAACCTCCTGTCCCATCCTTGTGGTGATAGATCTTTCCTGCCACTCTGCCCGTGCATCAGTTGGTCTTTTGCTGCAATGCTCTAAATCCTGGAAACCTCTCTCCTATTTTTGCACAGAGGCTGCAGCCACATCAACATTTTTAACCCTGTGTTCATGCCCATCCCTTCCTGAGTGTTTTGTGTGAGGAAGGATGCAGTGGCGGATGCAAATGCTGTTCCAGAGGAAACTTAAAATCCGCTTTCTCTTTCTTCTGTTCTTGGCCCTTCTCGTGCACCTGGTGATGGATTTTGCTCTCCCCACAACCCACAGGTCCTGTGGCTGCGATACTAAAGCATCAAAAGCCATGGGTGTCCTGTCAGGCAGCTCCATGCCAGCCAGCCTCAAAAAGCTGAGCCTGCGAATCCTTCAGGATTTCAGTGGAAGCAACGGTTCCTTGGAGAAAAGTTCCCAGCCAGAGAGAGCGGGGCTGCACCTAAGGGCTGGAGAGCCAGGGGTCCAGCAGCAGCATGAAGAGGCAAATGCAGGGTGGACCAGGGGATCAAAGCTGGCAGCACTCTTCGAGCATCCTCTTTACAACATCCCAGTCCCAGAGGTGACAGAGAAAGACAAGCTGTTTATTGTCAACCCCATGGAGAAGTTCAGTCTGCGCAGCAGCAGGAGTGATGAATGGTGAGGAGCAAGCTTAACCCTAATTTGCAATTGGGGGATATGTGGGTTTCAGGGGACAAGCAGCAGGGACCAAACATAGTTCCCTTCTGTAGATCAACATCCTACACCAGAAGGGCCTTGATTACTGAAGATGCTGTTCTCATATCTCAAATCCTCTCCTAGCCCTGAATTTTTGGGCTGCTACCCATAAGCTTGTAGCACACAGCAAAGCTAAAGCAGACTCTGGAATTATTAATGGTATTATGGATATCTATTAGGTGATCTCCTCAGCTTCTTCCCTTCCCAAATGCAGACTAGCCTGTAGTATCTCTGTCTGTATATGAGAAAGTCTTCCCTCCCTCCAGATTTCTAAGCAGTTTTATCTCCCTCTCTTGGTATGTTGGAGATGCAAAGCCTGAAATGTAGGTACCATTCCTATCCTGCATTTTGCACAATATTGCCTGACCTTGTTAGGTTTGGCTGTATGGTGAGCTCAGAGCTGACAGCTGTCTATTTTAATCTTTGAACTACTAACCTCTAATTAGGAGGGAAGATATTAAAAGCTTTAGCATTGTAACACATAGCAGCTTCCTTACGGAAAGCACACCTTCCAAAAGTGGTGCCTGCTAGAACTGGGAGAGAATAAAAGCTGGCTTAAGAGCTGGTTTCCACAAATGGGCATTTGCCTTGTCTCTGAGGACCAGCTCTGGGTAGCCTTGGGTCTGGTTTGATGAAATCAATGCACAGTCTGTGTTTTCCTAGTGAGAGACATGGATTTGGGTTAGAGATGCCTTGGCCCAACTGTCCCATTGCAGTTCCAATGTGTGCTAGCACACAGGTGGGGCAGATCCCCCCGGGGGCTCCCTTGAATGCCAGCAAACTGCAAATTTGCAGGATGCGCAGAAGCAGGGATAGTGCTAACACAAATCTATCCCCCTGGGGAAACCCACCCAAGGGGAATGGGTTGTTGAGGATGGGAGTTCAGGTCAGTGGTGGGGATGGCTGGGAAGCCCATGTTTCTCCACCCTTGTTCTGTGTACACACGTGTCCCCAGTAAGCACAGGGAGGGATGTAGCAGACTATACTCCTGGGAGCCAACCCCTTAGGTAAAAACAGTGAGATGATCTGTTCCAGCAGGGAAATAAGTGCATGGATGAGAGAAGCAGGATCAACCCAAGGATTTTCCTTGGGGGATGGAGGGAAGACACTGTGTTCAATCCAGCCATGCTGGTGGGTCTTCCTTGCCACCAGCTTTGGGTGGGATCTGCCAGGTGCCAGGAGCCCCGTGGAGACCATATGGGGCAGGCAGTTCTGCAACCATGAAACCTGGAAGCCCTCCAGGGCTTGCTCTGGACTTTCTCCCCACCTCACCCTCCATGCACTGGCTCCCAGGAAGGGCCCGGGGACACAGGACCCATCCTGTCTCAACTAAAAGCTGTTGTCATTGTTGTTGGGGTGGTGGTGGCTGTCGGGCTGCAGGGTCAGCAGCAGTAAAGCCGAGACGCTCCTCCCGACAGGGAAGACAGCCTATGACACCTACCCCACCTGGCTCAAATTCCACATCGGCATCAACCGCTATGAGCTGTACCCCCGCCGGGACCCCCTGTTGCCCACGCTCCTCCAGGACTTGGCCACACAAAGGATCATCAGCTCGGGTACCACCTCCCTGTCTGTACCCCTGTCCACACCCCTACCCTGCTGCCTGCTGCCTGCCTCCCTCATCCCCATGTGCCTCCTTTCAGTCCAGAAGTCCGGCGGGACCCAGCTCAAGCTCATCATGACGTTCCCAAACTATGGGCAGGCCCTCTTCAAGCCCATGAAGTGAGTAGAGCCTGGGAGAACCCTATAAGTCATCCACATGGTCCTGTTAGGTACTGAGGAGTGGCCAGAGGGGACCATGGAGGAAGAAATGGGGAAATGCTTCATGTGCTGCCTCGCTTCAGCACCTCCATACATACCAAAACTGAGGCGAGCAGAATGGTCTGATTTCCCTTTCCTTCCCTGGTGGTGCTTGCTGCAAACTGGATGCAGCTTGTGATGGGGTAGTGACCTCCAGTGGTGGAAAGAAGAAGATGGTTCATGAGGACCATCCAAGAGCCTCCAGTCCATGAGGGCTTCCCCACCCCTTGAGTTGGTGGCAGGGGTTGTGTGGGAGCCTGGATAGGGGGCTTGGAGCCACCCACTCATTAGGAAGTGACTGGAGGAGACTGGGTCTGGCTGTGTCTCCAGTGTCACAAGGGAACACAAGGTGAGTGGTGGTTTGGAGTGACCCCATCCATGATGATTGCCCCTCCCACTGTCCCCTCTCCTTCCAGACAGACCCGGGACCAGGAGACCCCCATTGATTTCTTCTACTTCTCAGACTTTGAGCGGCACAATGCGGAGATTGCAGCCTTCCACCTGGACAGGTGAGCATAAGTTTTGCATCCAAGCCTGCCCCCCCATACTGGCAAAGCACCGGAGAAACTGCTCCTTCATCCCACCTGTCGCTCCTTGTTGTGAGGGATACCTGTGTCTCCTGTCAGTTTTAATAACTCACTACTATTAAACCAGCTGAGGTCAGTAAGAAATTATTCCAAGTTCTGTGTTTCAGAATCCTGGATTTCCGGCGAATTCCTCCAGTTTCTGGCCGTTTGGTCAACATAACAAAGGAAATTCGGGATATCACCACAGACAAGAAACTGGCCAAGACTTTCTTCATCTCCCCAGGTGAGCTTTCATGCTCTCCGTCCTCTCCTGTGGCCACCTGGATGGAGCTCACCTGGTGCTGGCTGCTGCTGCCCTGGCTCCCCCCGCACTCAGACAAACTATCCCACTGGGGATTGTTCCAGCTCCCATGGGTACCCTGCACAGGCCTTTGCTCCTCACAGCCTCCCTTGCCATTGCTTTGCTGGTGGCACATGGCCAGAGTGCATGGAGCATTCTTCCCTGGCTGTTTGCTGGACCACTCTGCCTGGGGGTACCTTCCTTCTCTTTGTCAACCTTTGTTTTGTCACCTGGCCAGCGGGTAACGTCTGCTTCTACGGGGAGTGCTCCTACTACTGCTCCACCGAGCACGCCCTCTGCGGCAAACCAGACCGGCTGGAGGGCTCCATGGCTGCCCTGCTCCCTGACAAGACCCTGGCCAAGCGCCGCTCCTGGCGCAGCCCCTGGCGCCGCTCCTACCACAAGAGCAAGAAGGCTGAGTGAGATGGGGCATGGGGAGTGTGGGGACGTGGGCCAGCAGAGCCATGGGATGGGAGGGGGCTTCTCCACAGCCACTCTGATGGCCCCCTTGCCCTCCCCGGCCTCTGCCACCAGATGGGAGCTGAACCCCAACTACTGCGCTCAGGTGCGAGAGACACCGCCCTACGACAGCGGCCATCGCCTCCTCGACCTCATCGACATGGCGATCCTCGATTTCCTCATGGGTGAGCCCCTCTGTGCCTGTGCTGAGGGCTGTGGAGGTCCCTCAGGACCTAGAGGCCCAAATGGCTCCGTGTCCCGTGGTACTATGTCCTGTGAGGTTTGTTGGCCAAACTGTTGTTCAGGCTGCAGTGAGCTGCAGTCTTACTTACACTGAGAGCACAGGGCTGTGTCACTAGGGCATTTCCCAGGCAGAAGTCAAAGGTCAAGAGATTCCAGGGAGATGCCTGCTGAATACCCTGGACATGGGAAGCACCTTCCAGCACGCTCTCACATGCAGCCCCGGCAGAACCAGAGGTGGAGATGATGCTAGCCAGAGCTCTTGCTGCCTCTCCTGTCCCTGGGCCATTTCTTCCTCCCTGCGCTGTTCCCTCACCAGCATCTGACTGGGAGAGTTTCCCATCTCCTCATTCCTGACCATCCAGCCATGCCTTTGCCATTACTTCTGCTCCATTTGCCACTGTTGTCCCTCTGTGGGGCTGCTGGAATGAGGAGCCTGGAGGCCGTGGGGTCTCTGCTCAGTTCCCCTGCACAGGCATGGCCACCAGATGGACAAGTTAGAGGTGCCTCCAACCCTTTTCCCTGGGCTCTGGGTTTCAGTCTCACACCAGAGGAGTGCTCTGTGTCTTTGCTCCCATCTTCCAGCCCACAACCTGACGCCAAATTTGTTGGCCCGCCACAGGCAACATGGACCGGCACCACTATGAGACCTTTGAGAAATTTGGGAATGACACTTTCCTACTCCACCTGGACAATGGTCGCGGGTAAAGCTGGGGATTAGGGGGGAAGCAATCACAGCAGAGGGGTGGGGGGAGACCTCCAGTCTTGCTGAAATGCCACCCTGACACATCCTTATGGGCTTCTCCCCACCCCCAGCTTCGGCACACACTCACGCGATGAACCGTCCATCCTGGCCCCTCTCCACCAATGCTGCAGGTAAGGGGCTGTCCCCACCCCGGATCTGCTGTTGGGGAGAGGCTCCTCCTATTGAGACCTCTCCCTCCTCATCTCTGGCAGCATCAAGAAGTCGACGTACCTGCGGCTGCAGCTGCTGGCCACCCAGCCCTACCGCCTGAGCGACGTGCTGCGGGAGGCGCTGGCCGCAGATCCACTGGCCCCTGTCCTGGCTGAGCCCCACCTGAAGGCATTAGACCGGCGCCTGGAGAAGGTGCTGGTGGCGGTGGGACATTGCCTGGCCAGGGCAGCCCACCAGGAAAAGGTGCTGGTGGATGATGTGGGGCCATGGGTGTGACGGGGGCTGGTCCCCTGCTGTATTGGGCTGTTTTGGTGTGCTGCCGAGGGTGATGTGGGGGTCCATGTGCAGCTCTGATTCTGTGTAGCGTCAGCTTTTGGTGGTGCCAGAGCTGGTGGCGTGATGAACCAGGAAAGCAGGTTGTAAGGATAGGTGGGACAGGGAGGGAATTTAAATAAAAAGGTTGGCCTAGTGGAGAAGACACAAGCTGTGATCTTCCCCACCAAGGCTGCTTTCCCAGCCCTGGCCTGTTCTTGCATGCCTGGACGTGTCACTTCAGCCCTCCAAAGTCTTTTAGGAAAGGGTAGGGATTTTTCCTGCTTTTCACCAGCAAGAACTGCCAAACTGCTGGCAACAGCTGGCAACAACCTCCTTCTGCCCTACCCCCACACCCAGCACGGTGATGCCCTGGTGACCCCCAAAAAGAGAGCTGAGACTCCCCACTGCTGGTGTGGGGAAAATGAGGCAGAAGCTCCCAGCTACACACCACTTATCTTTGCCCCAGTCTTCCCACACCCACTCAAAAACTCCCATGGCTCTGACATCACCACCTCCTCCACAGGACCAGGGATGGAGCAAGGACAGACCCCACTCCCCTCAGAACATCTTCCCAAATCCCCCAGGAACTGCCACTGACTCCCTTCACACCTGAAAAAGTGGCTCCTGAGGGGGGGATGGATTGACCTGGGGCTGTGCACCCTACTTAGTGCCTGGTGGCTCAGCACCCAGCTTATCCCCTGAGCCTCCCAGGGGGGTTAATCCACACAGGGTTACGTCAGCTGGAGCAGGTGCCATTGTGACAGCCACTGCCACTGTGCCCAGGTTGGGACATGGGATTGCCATCTGCATGGCCAGAGATAAAGGTGCCACTGGGGAGGGGAGATGTGCTCTGTCCCAGCCAGACACTTGCAAAGGGATGGGAAGCCATGGGAGGGGGTGAAAAAGGGCAGCTGGCACAGTGGGAGATGGAGCTGGAAAAGCTAGGCAGAGATTTTGGCTGGAACAAAAAAATGGGCTCAAAAGGAAGGAAAAAAAAAAAAAAAAAGAAAAGGGAGACAAAGAGGATCTGTCTGCGTTACACAACGGGGCTGGGGACACTGAATCAGGGTTTGTTGCAGTGTGCCCCCCCAGTGCTAACAGCACGTCCTCCCGCCACTGCCCTGGCTTGTGCCCCAAAGCCCAGTACATGGAGGAAAAGGTTTCAGGGCTGTTTTGCAATAGGCTCCTTCCCTTCTGTCAGCTTCCTAGTGTTTTTAACTCTTTATATAAATACTTTTTTGCCCTATAAGCAATGCCAGAGGGACCATTCCTGCACCCTGCCCCACAGAAATAGCCTAAACAACCGTGCCCAGACACAGGTGGCCAGTTGCCCTGACTCTCAGAGCTCCCCCAGGCAAATCTTTTTCCGAGACACCGTCAGATTTAAAACGCGAGGTGTGTGTGGGGGGTGGCTGGTTTTTTTTCAGGCTGGTGAGTTTGCACAAGGTCCGTTCAAGGTCCCATGGGAGCAGCCCGGTTTGGCTCACACGGCCCTGACGAGCCTGCCCAGCCACCCGTGGGGAAGAGCAGTGGCAGCGGGGTGTCTGGGGCCAGTGGCCCGGGGAGCAGCAGAACACGCCTGCCCAGTCGAGGCGGCGTGGGCACACGGGTGTCGAGTGGGGCTGCCCACGCCGCAGGGATGGGTTCGACCGTGTCGCCGTGGCGGGCGCTGCGTGGGGTGCGGGGATTTCTCGCCCCACCAGGACCAGCAAACCAGCCACCCCAGAAAAGCCCAAACGGGGCAGGGGTGGGGTGCAGCCCTGCACTGGGAGCTCCCATTTTGGGCTAGCATCACCCACGCCCTCGGCTGGCAGCGTGGGCTGACGGCTGCCCGTGCTGGGCACGGCTGCGGAACCCCAGGGCTGAGGTGTCAGGGGACCAGGTCCCGGTGGGCAGCAGAGTGCGGATGGACTCTCACCACCGCCCCCACCAAAATGATGAAAATAAAAGAAAATTTAAAAAAAAAGGAATATGGCTGTGGCGGTAATGATAATAAATAGCAACAATGATGATGATAAAGAAGAGCTCCCCAGAGGCCGGGGAAGCGGCGGCTGCCCCCTCTCCGCGGCGGCGGGCGGGGCGGGGCGGCGGCGGGGGGGTCCGGGGGAGGGCGGGAGGAGGGTGCCGCCTTCCCCCGCAAAACAAAAGGGAGCGGCGGCGAGAGCGGCCGGGAAGGACGGAGGGGATCGCTCCCCGCTGCGCGGCACTTGCCGGTGGGTTTGCGAGGGGAGCGGCGGGCGGGCCGGCTCCGTGCCGGGGCCTTGGGGGAAATGTGTCGGGCCGGGGGCGCGGAGGGGCCGGGGGCAGCCGCTCCACGCGCGGGCGGTCCGCGGAGGGGAAAGGAGGCGAAGGGGTTTATCGGCCTGTACGGGGGGGCGGCTCCATCCCGGGCACCCACGGCCGCCAGCTGGGGACGGTGCTCGGCGTGGGCCGGGACCCCTGCCACAGGGGTGGGGTCCCCGCCAGCGGGATCCCGCTGGCTGCGTCCCTCCAGGGACCCTGCCGCTGACACTTCCCTGTCTCCCCCGCCCTCTCCACACCTCCAGGGACCCTGCCGCTGACACTTCCCTGTCTCCCCCGCCCTCTCCCCACCCCCAGGTGAGCCGAGCTCCCCCCCGAGCTGCCGCCATGTCCCGCCGCAGCCAGCGCCTTGTCACCACCCGCTATTACCCCGGGGACGAGGATGCCACGACGAGCGGCAGCAGCACATCCCTGCTGGGTGGGACACAGCTCCCCTTCAAGGAGACCACCGGCAGGTTAGTGGGGAGCACGAGTGGGGGGTTCCCCCTGCCCAGATCTGACAGGGGCGGGGCATTCCATCCCGCATCAGGGACCAGGCACCTTCCTGCGTGGGGCGTGGGAGAGCTCGCAAAAGGGAGCGTGACGGCGAGCCCGACGCGTTCCGGCATGGCCGCCTTGGCACTGGCTGTGCCGCTGCTCCAGCCAAAGCCCCGCGGGCCCGGCACCGAGCCTGCCGCGGGTGGCCGGCTGCCAGATCCCGGCTCCCGGCTGGTGGCGAGAGGAGGCGGGAGGCAGGGAGGGAGGAGGGAGGTGCGCTGCGAGCGCCGGCCGGAAAACCGCAGCGGTGCGAGCGGAAGCGATGCCCGGGACGGGCGGGAGGCCTCGGCGCAGCAGAGCTTGCAGCCTCCGAAAGCTGCCGCCATCCGGTGTGGAGCGAGTGATGCTGATCGAGGGATTGGGGTGAATTCCCCATTTCCCCCCATGAGTGCACTGTGACCCGCCCCATCCCGTAACCACAGGTGTCTGATGAGCCGGTTCTTGCCTCCCGCAGGACGATCAGGAGGAAATCGAGTAGCACAAAGCGCCTCTCTCCCGCCCCCAGCACCCAAACCTCCTACTATAGCGAGTCCATGATGAGCGAGTCCTACCTGGGGGGCAGCCGGGGCCTTCCTGCCCTGGGTCGCTCCATGCTGGATGATGACCTGGACAGCAGCACGTACTGGGGTGAGCCTTCCCACTCTCCTAGGGCAGCTGGGGACCTTCCTGGACACTGGAGAGTGTTGGGGCAGCTGCCCAGGCTGGCTGACTGGGTTGCCCCTTGTGGAAGTGATGGTGGTGATTTTTCAGTGGAACTCTGTGTTTTGGGGCAGGTGGAGAGCTCTCCACCAGGAGAAGAAGAGGCACAGGGGACACCGAGTCCAGTAAGATCAATGGAGTGCTAGAGAGCAAGACGTATGACACCTACACATCTTCATCTGGGTACTCCTCAGAGGATGACTATGCTGGTAGGGATGCACTAGTCTGTCTGCAATGGCAGGAATGCAGGGGAGGCATCCCCAGGGGGACCAGTACAGGGCCTGGCTGTACCCAGTGTGCTGCCAGTCCCCACTAGATGCCACCCCCAGTGCAAAGCCTTTGCTGTGGGCAATGCACTGAGATGCTGTCTGCATTGGTGACTTGGTGCTTCCTTTCCAGGTCACTATTACTCAGGCCAGAGTAGCTCTGGGTCAGGTCTGAGAACTGCAGCCTCCCGGGTGGGCTCCTTCCTCTGGCAGGTCTTCACCTCCCCAGGTGAGTGGAGGGCTGGCAGGGGCACTTCTAGCCAGCGGTGCTCTTGCCAGTCAGCATCCCTACTCTCCAGGTGCTGTGTGTGCTTTCCCCTGCTTGGGTGGAGGGGTTTTATCCCCTTGTGATGCCACCCTTGGGCATGGAGGGGACATGTCTGTCAGGACTCCTCCTGAGGCTTGTTTTTCTCCTCACAGTTCAGTTAATGGGGTGGCTGTTCTCGAGGCTGGCAGGGGCCTGGCGCCGCCTCACTGGCAGAGCTTCCCACCTGGACAACGTCCCCTTCTCCAGGTGAGTGTGCTGGTGGGGGGACACTAGGATGGGGGAAGCATGGGGAAAACCTGCAGGACCCTGAAAAGGGGAGGCATATTTGGGGTGGTGGGTGCTTTGTCATCTTTGTTTTCCCTCTGGCCCCCATGCAAAGGTGATGGAAGGTGGCTACAGTCCTACAGTCACCTCTCTCTTCTCTGTGCTCCAGGCGCTACCCACGTCTGAAGAGGTCCCTGCTGCTGCTGCTGCTCCTCCTGCTCCTTGCTGCTGCTGCCTACGGTGAGCCACCTCCCTTGATGTGCTGCCCTGAGATCTGGGGCAGTGCAGAGCCTCCCACTGCCTTAGCTGGGGGATGGGATGGCCTGGAGCTCAGTGCTCATGGCTTCTCGTAACCTGGTCCGTCTGCATCCACGTGCCAGTGTCTCCTGGTAATCCTTGGAGATGCTGATGGCTGAGCCTCTGCATGTCCATCGTGTCCACTACTGTGGCCCATTACCAGCCTGTGGTTTTGACCATTTCATCCTTCTGTGCCCAGGAGCTTGGTACTTCTACCCGTATGGGCTGTCGACATTCAGCCTGCCTTCCTTCCCATGGTGGGGAGCTGGAAAGCTTTCCTCCTCTTCTGATCTTCCTGGGGCAGGGGACCTGACCACGCTGGACCAAGTAAGCTTCAGCAAAGGCATGGTGGTGGCCCAGGTAGGATGGGTGCCTTGCAGGGAGAGCTGGGACGGTGTGATCCATAGCTGAACAATTGCTTCCAGGATATGAGGAATAGTGGAGAACGGGGGAGATGATGGCTACACACTGGCTCCCCCACCTTGTGGCCATCTCGCTCTTGGGGTGTCCTGGGGATGGAGCAGGGGGAGCTGCCTTCTCCTGGGAAGCAACAGATGAATAAGATGTCA